TGGCGAGATGGAGCGGGGGCCCCCTAATTATAGATATTGTATGAAATTGTGTTATATCAAACTGCTCCTATAGTCACGCTATTACAGATGGAGTGATTTAACAAAATAATTACTCCCTGGGATTATTAAAGTATTTCTGATTCTGATTCCTGCTTGATGGGACAGGTGTTGTGAATGAAATGGTGTCCAGCTTGAAAGAGCTGTGTCACTGAATGTGTGCATTGATGACTGAAAGACATCTTCTGCCTCCATTTATCTGTTTACTTCAGTGTGTTGAATTCATCTTAATGTGGATTTAAAGACATTTCAATTAATGAAAACATTGCAGGGGGGAATATATAAAAAAGTCTAATCAAGCAAAACTTTCGCAACCCCCATGCAGTACCTCTGTGGACCCCCTAGGGGTCGCGGACCCCCTGTTGAAGTACTCCGTTTTAAAGTGAGAAAGTCCACCTGAAAACTTCATCTGTGCAGTCAGTTCATCAAGATTACCATCCTGCCTTCAAATATTATTTTGCCGTCGGCTCCGTCTCTGGAAATCCCCTTCAGCAGCAGCCTCTTGCTGCGTTGCCTTTTCGGGGTTTTCTGCTAATGTTAGTGGCGGCTTGAAGGACATTTTCATGTACATCCAAACTGCAGGCACCAGAATAATAAAAGCAAACCTATTTTGCCGACAGGTTTCGACTGCATCAGAAGTGCTGTGTCTGTCTCCCTGCCAGATTCCAGATCAGCTTCTCTGATTGGTTGACGTGGCACATCAAGCAACAAAAGTTCAATTTTTCCAACTCCAGCAGCTGCTGCTGCTACTCTGAAACTCGTCCCTCATCTCAAATGTTCAGACCTGCTGCAGGACTCTTTGCTGCGCCTTGATGCGCATCAATCATTGACTTTGCATGTAAACTAGCTGCGTCTGCAGCCTCTAGCGCATGCGGTCTGAATGTAGCATCAGAAATGTAACGCTGAGAAAAGTTTCTCAGGTCTATCACAGAGCTAGCGCTATATAAGTACAGTCCATATTACAATCTGGCAACATCTGAGCTCCATTTGACATGACTTTAGCCTTCCCTTTCATGCCTTACAGTCAGAAATAAATATTCATATATTTTGGACCCAACGTAATTCGTAAAGGAATGCTTTGCTTTTTATATACAGATTTTTGTCATTAAAATTAATACTTTCATTCTGCACCACCCTAAATGTTTTTTTTGAAAAATAAGCCATATTGATGAAAAAGTTATATTCTGACATTTTAAGCTCTTTAAATGTTATCTGAAACAACTCCTTCTGTGAATCTAGAGCTGCATGAGGGTACCTAAAGGAACACAATATACACTCCCCGGCCACTTTATTAGGTACACCTGTCCAACTGCTCGTTAACACTTAATTTCTAAGCAGCCAATCACATGGCGGCAACTCAGTGCATTTAGGCATGTAGACATGGTCAAGACAATCTCCTGCAGTTCAAACCGAGCATCAGTATGGGGAAGAAAGGTGATTTGAGTGACTTTGAACGTGGCATGATTGTTGGTGCCAGAAGCGCTGGTCTGAGTATTTCAGAAACTGCTGATCTACTGGGATTTTCACGCACAACCATCTCTAGGGTTTACAGAGAATGGTCCGAAAAAGAAAAAACATCCAGTGAGCGGCAGTTCTGTGGGCGGAAATGCCTTGTTGATGCCAGAGGTCAGAGGAGAATGGCCAGACTGGTTCGAGCTGATAGAAGGGCAACAGTGACTCAAATAACCACCCGTTACAACCAAGGTGGGCAGAAGAGCATCTCTGAACGCACAGTACGTCGAACTTTGAGGCAGATGGGCTACAGCAGCAGAAGACCACACCGGGTGCCACTCCTTTCAGCTAAGAACAGGAAACTGAGGCACAATTTGCACAAGCTCATGGAAATTGGACAATAGAAGATTGGAAAAACGTTGCCTGGTCTGATGAGTCTCGATTTCTGCTGCGACATTCGGATGGTAGGGTCAGAATTTGGTGTCTGCAACATGAAAGCATGGATCCATCCTGCCTTGTATCAACGGTTCAGGCTGGTGGTGGTGGTGTCATGGTGTGGGGAATATTTTCTTGGCACTCTTTGGGCCCCTTGGTACCAATTGAGCATCGTTGCAACGCCACAGCCTACCTGAGTATTGTTGCTGACCATGTCCATCCCTTTATGACCACAATGTACCCAACTTCTGATGGCTACTTTCAGCAGGATAATGCGCCATGTCATTAAGCTGGAATCATCTCAGACTGGTTTCTTGAACATGACAATGAGTTCACTGTACTCAAATGGCCTCCACAGTCACCAGATCTCAATCCAATAGAGCATCTTTGGGATGTGGTGGAACGGGAGATTCGCATCATGGATGTGCAGCCGACAAATCTGCGGCAACTGTGTGATGCCATCATGTCAATATGGACCAAACTCCCTGAGGAATGCTTCCAGCACCTTGTTGAATCTATGCCACCAAGAATTGAGGCAGTTCTGAAGGCAAAAGGGGGTCCAACCCGTTACTAGCATGGGGTACCTAATAAAGTGGCCGGTGAGTGTATTTCATATCAGCGTTAGCTGGATTTACACCAATATTTTATTCTCTTTCCACTGAGCTCTGTCATCAGTGATGACAATGTTCAGGACACCACTGCTGTATTATTAATATTCTGAGCTTCTGCAGGAGGACGGTCTGTTTCCTTACTGGGTTAAAAGGATCCTAGAGAGCTATTATGAAGCAAAACTAAACTTAATCACCAGCAGATTCATCAAATAAGGAATGCCTGACTTGGCTCTAACGGCTCTGAAAAGTGTTCATTGTAGGCAGATCTTACCTCTGCTGAGGATCCTCGCACAGGGAGCAGAAACATTAATATGGTGGCTTTTAAAAAAAACCCAAAAAAGATTTTTTGACAAACTTTAAAACTTTTGTTTCTGTCAGATTTCTTCCACTTTGCTGACACTGAATATTAAGGTTGAAATTATGTTTGGGAAAAGCTTTAGTTGTTATGGTAAAAAAAATATTGTCCCAGCTACTGTTTTCTTTTATTTGTGTTTGGTTTTTTTCCCCCTTAGTAACAAGCACTTTCCCAATCAAATCGTATGAATATGATTTATGTTTTACGTTTGCAAGAAAATAAATGATTGTAAAAGAAATGTACTAATGCATATCGATGTAGTTTGACTGTATTGATGCCTTAAAAGCTATTAAGAATCAGTTTTTATTTTCTGACCCTTCCTCCTGTGTAATAAATAAGGCCGGCTGGGTCTTATGCTGTCCTGCACAAGAGGGATTTGGGGTCAGAACCCTTTATTTATTAAGTTAACAGCTAAACCTTCATGAGGTAACTCAGAGCAGCTACTGCAAGTCTAGACATCCAGTCACCTTTAAATCCAGCTCAAAGTCGGTAACTAATAAAGGAGCAAGAAACGGGGTTGATTTTAGGGAGAAACAGATCCAGCGAACGCTGTCAAAGACACGACCCATTGCTCTCAGGCTGTTTGGACCATTTTCTCACACCTTCTTGACTTCATTAGCTCATGGCGCTCTCATTTGCTCGTAGGCGTTTCTGCCATGTCTCCCACAGTCACGCTTACATACTCCCAACTCAAAGAAACAGGCTGTCCATGTCTATCCTGAAAGCTCATCTTTTATTTATGCTTTATCTACAATTCCTTTCCTGCTCTGCTGGTACTGCTGCTAAATATAAACTCTGTTCTCTATTTATAGAAAACCCTCTCTCTGTATTCTGTTCTCTTTTTTCCTATGTTTTTTTTTCCACTTTTCAGGAAAAGGGGGTGAAAAAAAGAGGAAAAAGCCTCCACATTTTGATGAAAAGCCATATATATACACACACACACACACACACACACACTCTGACATACAATCTGAATGTGTTGTAGTTGGATGGGAAGAAGTTATGTGGGAATTTTATTGCCTTTGGCTCCAAAACACATTTTGCTAATACCTAAATATTCCTGGTAATTCTGTAAACATCCTGTTACATTTTTACTAAAGGAGGATCACTGTCATCAATAATTACTAAGAAAAAAAATGGCCTTAAAAATGGAGTTTGGAAAAGATTTGACCTGCCAATCCTGTTTCCGTATCTTTTCACACCCTCCTGCCATGACCGCTCATTAATCATTTCTATTAAGTCCAGACGTAAAGTTTACACACTGAAAGGGCCATCAGTGTAAACGGTGTACACTGCTCTAAAACAAAGGCTAAATTAGCGATGGAAAAGAGGGATTTGGCTTTCATTTATTTTAGAAGTTTCTCTTCTTCAAACCGTCTGGATCTAATGAGGAGGTCTGTTTGCAGAACCTGATGGGATTTCATTTATTGTCTTTGGTAGCTGTGGTATTAATGTGTTTGCACGGCCATGAAAGAACCTTCTATTCTGCTTTGTGTGCTGCACCTCTTTTTTTATAGATGCTTCCTTAATACTCAGTTTCGTTTCCAGTTTATTGTACTCATTTAAAACCTAGAAGGTATTCTTTTCTAAGCAGTATAGTAATATACTTTTGCTGCATTGCTGTGCCAGCTGATGAGATTTAGTGTTTGTTTTTATTTCTTGATTCTCTAACCAAATGTGCCCCTGGTTTAAAACTCAGCTCTTCAGCAACTGATTCTTAGAGGTTTCTACTGCGAACAAACGCAAAAAAAAACGTTTTCCTTCCATTTAATTTCAATTGATAAGTTTAAATAATGCAGTACATGAACAGGCATTGATTAAAAAAGAAGCTGCTGGGATTTTTGCTCCTGGATGGAGCCCAAGTCTGATTAAAATGGGATTCGTGGCATCAGCTGATTGCATTGACAGGATATTTGAAAGTGATTTCCATAGTAATGTCTGTGTCGCTGATAAAGGCGCCAAACAGAGGCCGTCTATTCTCTGACTCTCAGTCCATCCAGGTTTCTCCTTGACGTTCCACAGTCAGTGCTATTAAGTTTTCCCTCTGTGCTTTAAACCACTAATCAATTCCCTTCTTTTCATTCTTTTAGGCTCGTAATGTAAACACAGGGGAGCTGGCTGCTATCAAAGTCATCAAACTGGAACCTGGTGCGTTACCTCATCTTTGTCTCCGTTTGTTTCCTTTTTTGTCCCTATATTGGATGCTCTTTCTTTATCTACTTTTTCTGTCCTTCTAAGATCCTCAGTTTTCATCCTATTTCCCTTTATATCCACTTCTATTCTGCTCCTATATTCATATTCTGTTATATTAAACAACTGCTTGCAGCAATTGCTTTACAAAGGCTGTTAATTATTGCCGTAATGATGCATGTGTGTACGTGTTGACTGTAGGTGAGGACTTTGCTGTCGTCCAGCAGGAGATCCTAATGATGAAGGACTGTAAACACTCTAACATTGTTGCCTATTTTGGCAGCTATCTCCGGTAAGAGTGTGAATATGTGTTTTTAATGTGCAATAGTTAGCTATAGCGTTTGACGAGTTGTGGGAATTGTGTCGAATCTTCATGTTTACGCCAGGAATGGGTAATCGGATGATGGGAGATGTAGAGAAAGCTTCAAAGTTTAACTGTGAGTTGTTGTTTTTTTTTTCCTCTGCTTTATTTAGAAGGGATAAATTATGGATCAGCATGGAGTATTGTGGAGGAGGTTCGCTACAAGATATCTATCATGGTAAGAACAGGAAAACAGAAATCCTCCAGTCTTAGTTATTTTACTACATATTTTAATGTTTGTAAATCTTTTCCCTGTGTCTTCTTGTCTTCTTTTTCCTGCAGTAACTGGTCCTCTGTCTGAGTCACAGATAGCCTATATGTCACGGGAGACGCTGCAGGTAATGTTTACATTTTCCACACTACAGACATAAAGAACCCCAGATGGGTTAAGCGATTGCTTAACTTTACCAAGTGTTCATGCTCTGTATTTAATAGGACTTCAGCATATTAGATCTATGGATGGATCTATGGCGAGTGATATTAACCAATTTTCTATATTTTATTTCTCCACCCTTTTGTACGGTAGCTGATAGCTACGAATGCACAACATATAAGGAAACAAGCTGCAAAAAAACGTCTGAAGCAATCTCCAAAACATGCAGACATAAGAAAAACAAATGCAATAGAAAAATTGTGCAAACCAAAAAAAAATGCAAATAGTAAAAACAGCAGGAAACATGCGCTACTAAACGGAAGTGCTCCAGACCACTAGAGGGAGGTGCACTGAGAACAAATCAGACCAGACTGTTACTGGTAAAATATAGAGCTTCCGTTTTGTGGTGCGACTTTGCTGCTGTTTTTTACTATTTGCATAATTTTCTATCTTTGGTCACTGCATTTTTTGTTTGCAGCTTTTGTTTTTTTGTGTTTGCGTGTTTTGGAGATTGCGCCATATATGTGTTTGCAGCTCGTTTAGTTCTTTTGCTGCTCCTTTGCACCTTTTGGCCACCATACTTGTTGACATTGTAGAAGCTTATTACTGTCACAATCACAAAAAAACCCCAATGGAAATAATATCCACTTTGAATTGATATCACTTTGTTAAGAAAAGAACAACATCAGCTGATACAGTCGTCAATAATCATGAACCTTTAATTACAACACTATTAATTTTCCTTTGGTCTTTGTTGACACTTAAACCAAAAATGCCTTCATTTTTAATACATTGAATGTGATATTATGACCATGTAGATCAAAATAATTTTGGATATAAAAATAATGAAAGATCAAATACAAATGAGAATTAAAAAAAATGCCTCTGAATACTTAGAATAAAACAAGAAAAACAACATAGAGCCAAAGAATTAATAGCTTTTCTGTCTTTTCTCTCATCATTTTTTGCTGTCTACCAGAAGCTGTGTACTATTATTGGGCACGAACCTCTGTTGTTTTAAGCTGATGTAATGAGCCAAGTGGTCCAAAAGTGGTATAATATGCCTGCTATACACAGATGCTGTGCACCAGAACCATGAAGGACCTTAGCTAATCTTTGGATATAGTGGTTCAGCATCTAGGCTTTTTAAATATGTTACGTTAGGAATTATGTTTTTTACCTCTTTCTTTTTATTTAACATGATTAAAAAAAAAACCTTTTGGTTCGACTGTCTCGGTTCGGTTTGCGTGTGTTGCGTTCGGTTCATGCGCTCCTTTTTCTCATAGGCAAAGCGTGTACACTCCAGAGCAGTAGGTGGCGGTACTGCGTCCAAAGCCAACCACCAGTAGTAAACAAGAAGAAGAAGCGAAGCAGCGTAGCCGG